TATATGTATATACATATTATTTAATAAAAACTTCAAGCTTTGTTACATGATTTTTGAGTGATTGAATGCTGAGTCGATAAAGATTATAGTGGAAGAGGGGCAGTAGGCGCTTGTATTATAAACTGCGCTTAGGTACACGCTAGCTACAAGTATAATAAGTGGAGAGAAGCGGGAAAACGATGATTACAATCTTTGAACAGCGATTCCCATAAAAATTCCTTCTCAATCAAATAAATGAAAATTTTCTCAAGATTTTCCATGAATTAATTTTCATCATTCATAAATTTTGGGATGAAAATAACTTGGAAAATTTACTATAACCTCTCATTATATGAATTTATATCCAAAAATTTCTTCCTATTTTCCCTTTTGTCCGTAAATGTTCAGTTTTCATAGATTTCTCATATGATTGGATGATTACTGGAACTGTTGAATGATGAGAGGAGAGTTGATGGAGTGTTGAGTGGGGGTATACAGTGCATGCGACGTGAGTCACAGTGTATCGTATGCTCGCTAGGAGAGTGAGTATTGTGGGGTAGGGGCGAAATCGTAATCTCCTTTTTGAAAGGAGATTTTTGTATTTTTCTATAGAAATTCATCGCGGCTGTTGCAAAAAAAAATCAGTACAGACAATCCATAGAGAATCCATAAGATAATTTTTTCCTAGTCTTTACGAAAAATTTTGATTCGAACATATCCACATGAATCCCCCACTTATTATCATTCTCCCATTCCCACTATATTCGTAAACAATCGCGGCTTTATAAGCGGGACCCATGATCCCCCTGAAGCAAATACGAATTCTCCAACCGAACTACGTGATCATTATTCTGTTGAGTTTTTCGTGAAGTGACAAGAGTCGTGACAACTAAGAAAAATGGATACCTACAAGTGTGAGACTATGATTGATGCTGCTCAGAGACCTCTCTCATCTGAGGGTATGGAAGTGGCGAGGATATTGACGTAAGCTTCAATTCGAAGGCGTCTCCGATCAGCACGTGCATCTGTCATCAAATCACCTGAGGATAGTCCTGCAGTCAAGAAGGTGAGGAAGAACTCCACCAAAAGCTTTCAGCGAATGGACTTGAGCATCAAAGCTGTGGAAAAAAATGTGAAGCCATCTGTCACCAGTAGGACTTTTGATGATGAGACTCGTGAGGAGATTCGTGAGATCTTGGCTTCACCGTTGTATACTCCAGACATACAGGAGAGTTCTGGAGTCATTGGAGAGTTAAGGAATGTTGAGGTGCCTGAGCAGACGCAGAAAATTGATGAATTTATGCAGACTGAGGGAATGGACGGGTGCATGACAACTATTAAAGTTGAGGGTCCATGTCCAGAGCTAGCAAACCGGCTGGTTGAATCTCCATTGGAACCATCATCAGGGCCAGTCCCTCAAGTGCCTGAGTCTCCGGAAAGCCCACCACCAGGACCAGATACTGGGGTGCCTCCAAAGGTGCCATTGAAATGGATTACAACGCGTGTAGTTAATGTGAATCGGAATCTCCCCGATCAAGGTCCGATAAATATTAATGTTGAGGGTATGCAACCAATGCCGGTGGTCCTTCCAATGGCTTGGAGAGGCTCGCAAAGAATATCCAGGGACTTGAGCAAACAATTCGTCGAGTTGCAGTACGGCATCCATGCAACGGTTCCTTCATGATGCATGCTGGAGTGAGGGCTAGGCTGATTGTCTGTGAGCTTGGTCATCTGCATTTCGTCCCCGAACCAATAACTCGAGAAGGGAAACCATTGGGACCACTTCAGCTTATTTATCAATAGGTAAATTTCAACTTCATAACTATAATATTCTTCCAATAATTCCAATGATTTTCAATGCAACATACCTTTTTTTCCTAGAGCTTTCGATACTTACTTGAGAAAATTCTATCTATTCTATTTTGAATGAAATTGCAACCAGCTAAAATGAAAATTGAAGAGAGACAATGCTTATTGTGATTTTTATTTCCCCTCAAGTAGTTTTTTTAATTTGGTGTAATTCTTTCTGTTACAGATATGAACCTGACGAGGTATTCTTATTCCATTGGATTCCTCGGATAATCCAATTCTTAACGCGGATCATCAACCTTTTTTCAACTATATAAAGTACCATTCCATTCAGTGTTTTTTTAAATAAAAATTTCTGTACCCGCATTTCATATAAATATTTTGAGATGTAATTTTTTCTTTATCAGTGTTTTGAAATGAATAAAGAAAAAAAGAAATAGCATGGAACGAAAAACTATTTCAGTTTTGGTTATTCGAGTAGTCAGATTATGTTCACTCATTATCCTTCCTTCCTATCTCTCTCTCGTTCCGTAAACATGTCAACAACTTACTATGGAAATAAAAATCTCACCATAAGAAGTCAATTCATTTCGAGTAGTCCAGTACCAAACGTCGTAGGTGACACATCCAAGTGACAGATTCAGCATTCAGTGGAATTCAAAGTGTGAAAGAGTGCACTATGGGGAGTGTAAGTGTCTAATGTTACTACGTTTCTGGAGAATTATCTACGATTCTATCGAAAATCAATTTCATTTATGTTTCTCCCAATTTCAATTGTTATAGAAGATGTTAGACGTCAATGATAATGTTGGATGTGGTGAAAAGGACAATTCCATCCTGAGGAAAATATTGGAAGGGGAAATGAACAAGCTTGCGTATGAGACACATCTCCTCACGAATGGGAGATGTGTAGACTCAACATCATCTCCATCTGCCATACACATAGGAGCAAAGAGAGGTGAAATATAAAAAATCATATCGATATTTTTTTAAAACGAAAACGTTCTTCTCATCAACTTTTCACTATTAAAAATGGAAAAAATTATAGAAAAAAAACTACTGAATTCGTTAGAAAAACCTATTGATTATCTGCTGAACGATCATTGAAAATTCTTTTAGTTTTGCGCCATTTCTGTTGAGATTTTTTCCATAAAAATATTCCTGGGTGCAAATATTTCGAGTTTTTTCTTTCAATTTTTCAATGAGAAGAGGACCAAAATGGAGTGAAAGAATTATCTTGACGAATGTCTACAACAAATGGCTCAAAAATAAGAAGTTGTATAAAAAGATCGATTTCTATCATTGAGTGACAATCTTCGCTGTTCCTCTAGGTCCAACTCATTCGACTAGAGAAGTATTTTTGGAGAAAGTTCTACGAGTGAGGATTGCTCGAGACTTGGAGCGTGGAGGGCCACATGCAAAACTCCTCATGATCCAAACTAAGACACGTGGTGCTGCATCACGATGGATGGAACATGAGAAACATCCTTCTACACTGGTGAAAGATCTCAAGCGACAGAAGACCATGGCGTTCAAAGTGAAAATAAATATGTTTTAGATTAATGAAAAAAAAGTTGCAGTCATGTTCATTTCTAAATAAAAGTAACAATTTAATATTATTCCTTGTCGCACTTACTGTTCCTATGGTTACGTGGAATTAAATTAGAATTAACAATTTGAATGTTTATTCTCGCCTCACTGAGCTAGAAATTCATCATATCAACAATATCTATTCAATTTTCAACGAGAATCATGCCGATGCTGCCATCTAGTTAAAACGTTAAGGGTTAGGGGGAATTCGAAAAATTGTGAAAAAAATTGGAATTAATTTCCTAAAATATATTGACACCATTTATTCAACATAAATTTCTGATAAGTACAATCTCATACAGATTATTTGTGAATAATAATTATAAAATGAGGTAGATTTCATGATCTGGATCGTTGGAGTCAGTCAGCGATAGTGAACGTGCAAGGATTCCACTTGCCTTCAGAGAACTTGATGGAGAGTTTGATGGACTTGGCAGCTTCTTTATACTGCTGGTACTCCTCTTTATTCTCCACAAATGCCTCTGAAACACGTTTGGAAAGCCAAACGGTGTACTTTCCATCGATGATAGCCAAAACTTTCCGTCCATATGTGGTTTTAGCATTTTGAAAACCAGTGACTTAGTACTGGTGTTCCAATTTCATATCTTTAATTTTTTTAGTCGGTGAAAAAGTAGTTTCTGATGCGATTTCATTAGGTATTGGAATGAAAATAATAAAAATTCATCGTGTATTGAAATTCAAGCAAGCAGCTTGGCTTAAACCGTATATCGATTTAAATACTGAAAAGAGGAAAGAATCATCGAATAAGTTCGAAAGAAACTTTTTTAAATTAATGAATAATGCAATTTTCAGAAAAACGATGGAAAATGTTCGGAAACAGAAAGATGATTACTAAGTGGAGTGGGAGGTATGGAGCAAGAGCTCGGATCGCTCAACCCAATTTGCATAGTAGTGTTATTTTTGATAATGACTTGGTAATAATTCAGTTGAACCGAACTCAGATTACATTCAATGAGCCAATCTACATTGAATTTTCAATTTTGGATTTATCACAAACTTTTATCTATGATTTTTATTATGATTATGTTAAGCGAGTGTTTGGTGATAAGTCAAAATTGATGTATACTGATACAGATAGTCCGTTGTACTATTTCAATGTGCCTGATATCTATGAGATTATGAAGCGAAATATCGTTAGATTTGATACGTCTGATTCTCCGGAAATCAATAAGTATGGAATGCCCAGAAAAAAAGTGTTGAGATTAATGAAAGATGAATGCAATGGGAGAATTATGACTGAATTCGTAGGCCTTCGAGCGAAATTGTACACTTTTAAGATTTTGAATGAATCAGAAGAGAAGAAGCGAGCGAAGGGTGTGAAAGGTTCAACGTTAAAAACGATTACTTTTAAAGATTACAAAAATCGTCTTTTTCATGAAAAAAATTAGTGAAATCACAATATTCAATTCAAAGCAAGAATCATGATGTATACACAGTGAAACAAAGCAAATTAGCATTAAGTTGTGATGATGATAAGAGGATAATTGTACTTGGCAAAACAGATAAACGACCTTATGGATATAATGAATAAAAAGACATTGAAAATTTATATTTTATTGATTTTTTATTAATGAAAATTATTACGAATCATTGGTATTAATCTAACTATTATGTGTGCAATCGAAGCCCAACCATTTAACATATTCCTTCTTTCCCCTTTTTTTCAATACTTTCTCCACTAGGTAGACGTCTGGGTACTTCACTTTCAGCAGTTCTTCTTGGTAGAAGCCTCCTTGCACTAATCCATTTCCAATGTCCATCAGTTTATAAGTGATAGTATCGGTGTTCTCCACTTTCCTGATTGTGAAGATTTCAGTTGCCCAGTTGGGTGTATATACTTTTTCAAAGATAGTTTTATATTTGCTGATACGCACTTTATCACTGATTTTGAATTTCGTTGCTCTTTTGGTATTCTTCTTCAATTTTCTGTAGAGATGTTCCAGTAAATATTTCTCATTCCTGCTGGTCACATCCTTCGGTTTCATCTTGATAGTGCTGTGTTTCGTATTATTATATGCTGATACTAGATCGCTTACACTATTTATCCACTTGTCAGTTCATTTTTCAAAGTACGATTGAAACGTTCACAAATGGATGCTTTGAGGTTGCTAAACGTAGCATATAATGTTATACCATAATCTTTCATCAAAGCTTGAAAATTCTTGTTGTAGAACTCTTTACCTCGATCTACATGCAGCCTTTGAGGCACACGACTTCTCCTCAGAATCGAATCCATAGCACTTGTGACGTCTGAACCACTTTATGTCTTGATTGGTATGGCCCAAGCATACTTAGACAAAATGTCAATAACTGTCAAGAGATATTTATACCTCTTGTTGGTATGTGCATAAGCTTCCATCTCCACAAGATTCGCTTGCCAAGTCTCATTCAATCCTTTGATATCCACGTGACGACGAATGTAATTCCTTCGAGCTGGCTTATGAAGCTTCTCCACTACTCTAGCCTTCCTTGCATCCATTAGGTTGTTATCTCTTTCTTCGTTGCAATTATTTCCTATCTCTGCTTCCTCACAGCTTCTTTCCCTCTTGACAAATTGTCGTCTCCTTTAAATCTATCTGACTGCTCTTGCTGCTTTGCTGCAGCCATTTTCTTCGTCTGCTTTCTTCTCAACTTTTTTGTCTCTGCTTGGAAAATGAGCTCAGATAGTTGACATTGGAGAGCTTGAAGAGTTGTGTTTAAATAAATTTTCAATGAGGTCATTTCTCGCCGTATAGGTTCACTATTTTGTTCAATATATACCTTCAAAATTTTCATAGAAACAGCAGCCAACTCATGCTTTGCATCAGCTAAATTACATAGTTTTTGTTAACAATGTCATAGTTTCCATCACGTGTACGTCTGAATCAATCACCTGCAGGACCTTGTCACCCCACACTAGAACTTTTAGTACGACCATAAGCCTACTGTCGACCGAACACATCAACGCTCAGGATTGAACTGATAAAATCCTGCTTGAACAGAGGTTAATATATAATTTCAGCCTCACGCAACTCTTCGATGATAGAGAAAATTTCATTAGTGTGACTAGTACTACCACCCGCTTGGGATGCCATGAGTAAACGAAGTCTATCTACTAATTCATTGGGATCATCCCAGTAAATATAATCAAATTTTTGATTTGTAGTTCTCGGTGCAATCATGTATTGAGGAAGCAGAGCTGTGCCAGTTTTGTCAGTCAATGATGATTGGAATAATGGTGCTATAATATTAATATATTTTGGAAGATGAGTCTTCTTGATGGGTTTGTCAGATTGATAGCCAGATCGATGAGCACTTGTACGTTGTATAATTTCAGCATAAGTTTTCTTATCAGTTTCAGTTATATGATCTGTTTGCGGAGACTGCATAAATATCAATTACATGAGACCAGGTGTTAATTTATATTGTTCGTCTTGCAATATCATTGTATCATCTTTGAAATTAACTATTGAATTTCCAATTTTCATGTCTCCTTTCAATTTTCTGACACCAAATTCAGTGTCTAGTTCTTTTTCTTTTGCTGTTCCGAATCTACTGAGGAAAGACTGTGCAAGGTTTTCTGTGTGAGATGTATTGGTCAAGCGACTTCATTGCTTTTGATGGATCATTTTCAACTACTGAACTATCATTTCGACTCAATGAAGCTTGTGATGATATTTCCGAACGTCTTGGAGTACGTGAAAAAATTATTAGTTAAAGCCCTTTATTGTCCTCATCAGCTGTTTCGAATGCATCATTCTCTTCATCACTATCTCTAACATCCATCCATGGAACCATTGTTATCTTGCGTTCAGACCATCTTTTTTCCTTCCTCCCTGATTTTTTAGAGTGCGCCTCGACCAATTTCTCTAGTGGTGTAATCACCGGTCTAAATGCTCCACTTGCAGTACGTTCTGCAGCATCTTTACCTAATTTCAATGTTTTATGCTTGTGACGGTTTGCCTCACTTGCTAGAGTAATGTGATGTAAAATGTTCGACTCTTTCTGCAATACCTTGCGATGCATGTTGTTCAGTATACGTTCAAGTCAACACTGTCTTCAATGTTGACGATCATTGCTTATTTATGGTTACGAAACAGTCGAAACCCTTTCGATAGCATCCATCATTCAATTCACTGTCCTTATCAATTACTATAAATCCATACTTGTCAATATTCCAGCAGGTTGAGCACAAATCTCTGAATTGTGTATGGCTATATGACATATCAGTATTCACATGATCGTCATAAATATGTTTTAAGTTCATCTCATCTTGATGAAAGAGTATCAGAAAATTTGTATTATCACGCACCAAATGTTATGGATAACGAGCGTAAGTCTGACCGAGATAGAAACCGTCCACATCTTGATGGCGCTCCATACAAAAGAATGCTCGCATATTGTTTTGTCTTTCACAAGCAACATGATCAAAGATTATGATGGAATTGGGGTGAGCATTGCCAGCTTTGATCATCTCCTCATGATCGCTGAATGGAAAATATTCAATTACTTTTGTGGATTCTAACAACTGTTTCAAAAACTGATATTTTGGGTGGATTAACGACTTCTAATAGACGTAGACATTCTCAAATCTCAATCCATTCGGATGAGTGATGAGTGCAAACAAGAGATTTGTTTTGCCACAGTTTGACGGGCCACATATGACTGCACGCACGCTGTTCGGTAGAAGAATTCCATGTCGATTTTTTCCCCCACCCTTCTTTTGCTGAACAATTTGATCGAAATTGATGACAGGGAGTTTCACATTTAGCTTCTTGAGCTTCATCTTGACAACTGCCATAGCAACTATGAATACGCGGTATTTATATGAGTTCAGTCAGTCGTTGACAGACCATGGCTACGTGCAAACGTAAGAGAGAGTCAAATGGTAAAGGGTTTTCTGAGTAAGGTGATTAATAAATTTCCAGTGGAATTATATGTACCAGGTTATCAATACTGTGGACCAGAAACGAAATTAGCCAAACGATTGGCTCGTGGTGATCGTGGGATAAATCATCTTGACGAGGCATGTAAGGAGCACGATATTACCTACTCTCACAAGGAACACTACACAGGTGTTCCCCTCCGATTTCGATAAAACTTAAATATGTTATAAGGGATCCAAAACTAAGGAACACGTATTTTTTTTTAGCTGCCCATATTGGGTTTTAGGGGGTGAAAGTGCTCTCTGAAGTTGACCACCTTTCGGGGTTATTTTTCGATTGCACACATAAGGAAGCTTTTTGAACAACTCTTTCGCAGTGTATCATGAAGGTCACAAGGAATCATGAAAATGCGAATTAGAACCGTTTCCGGGGGGTGAAATATGGAGGGTAAACTAACCCTGTGAAAATTCATTTTTCTCATAGAAAAAAAACTTTAGGTGGAAATCCCATGCGATAAATTCCATTTGAAAAATAGAAAAAAATACAGAATACCTGTTATGATTTTTTTTTTAATTGAAATTTAAAACTTAAAAAAATAGATTTTTGGTGAATTGCGAAATTTCAAACTTTTTCCTGTGCAAAACGAAGCTTACGGCTAATGATGAGGAAAACCATTGGGACAGAATCCAGGAGTGGTGTCGGGGAGGTTCACTACACTTGGGAGGGGAGGGGGGAATTTTTTTTAATGAGGGAGAAAAAATATCGATGAGAACTTTACGAAACACATTTCGTTCGAAAGCATGAGATAATTTAAAGCACATATTTAGGATTTTTTCCGCAAATTAGAATTTTAAGGTAAGAAACATTGAGTTCTTGAAACATTATGGGTTTTAAATTGTTTGTTATAATAGACTGATCTTACACGGAATGATAAGTGAAACAATTGAAATAGTCTTCGGGACTGAAATTTGAGGGCTTAACAATCCTCATGGTATTTTATCGAATCGATCGGACCAACCTCATTCATTTTCAAAAGAAGTCAGTAATGACCATGAATCTAAAAAATTTCACCGAAGGCCAGAGTAGAGAGTATTAAATGGCTTCCATTTCCAATTTGAAAAAATGAGTTATGATGAAATATTTTGAGGAATTCAAATTTTCATCTGTATATGAGCATGGATGGATGGTACAAAGAAGAGCCGCTGATTTTGTATAGTAAATAATGGATCGATGATAAAATGTATTTCGGTTCCTCTTGTCGCTTCGATGTGATATCGTTTTCAATGAGACGTAAATGGCGACATATGACAATACCATTCTGTTTGATAATGCAGAACCACAACTGAAGAATATTCGGGAGTTGTAAACATATCGATGCAAATGGCTCATTTGTTATCTGAGGATGTAATTACTCTGATCAATATAAGTTATACGATATCAATGTTTTTCATCTCCATCCCTCTTGTGAATTACAATCAGTCTATGAACATACATCGAAGAGAAAAGTAGTTTTTCGGTGAGTGTCGTGATCTATACTTGGTCTACCATGAAAGTCAATCCGATCAACGTTATCTGACTTCTGATGGCAACATTTGAAGTTCTCAAACTTGCTGAAACACCCGTGAACAACGAGGAATGTGAACTAGCAGACACGTTCGAAAGGATATGGATTCAATCAATGGAGGAATATAATTGAGTTGAAATGATCGAAGAAACATCCCGGGATTTTCAAGAGCCTTATAAAGGTATCGAAATGATAACGGTCGAGAATAAAGAATTTCAACCACATACAGAAGAATAACCTGACAGTTGTTCGGAGGATGAGGAACCTGTAGATTTCGAATATAAAAAAAATGCCGTCGACTTCTGGAGTAGTGGAGAAAAGAAGAAGAATCTCTCTATAGAAACTGTTTCCCATCGATTCAGGAAGGTGAAATCGCGTCGACAGTTACGACGCTGGGCGAATCAAATCAATAAACATACATGGAGAAGTTGAAACGCATTTCGGAGTAGATATTAAAGAATATGAAGAATGCTATCGATGCAAGTTTGATCGTCCACGATACTGACCTCCGAAGGTGGGCCCCACAAGCCCGGAAGGAAGTCGGCTTCGAAGACGT